TGATAATATAAAATGTCATAGTTTTACATGTATTTGAATTAGAATAACACTTTCAGGTGGGGTTTCAGAAAATCCAGATTCGAGAATCAGCTAAAAGATGTACATTATTCCAAAAGAATAATGCGGACAGTAACTAAATCAATGAATGTCGAAGGATCAATGAACAATCCAGGCACCCCTCCCCCTGCCCAATAAATAAAAAAAAAATATTTAAATCCCCCGTCTGTCTTTTAATTGTCTAGTGGTTTCTTCTGCTTGGATTCGGGTATGTTTGACTGCACAAAAACAAATGTGGGCGCCCCCCACATAATAATTTTTTTTTTACATAATTTGAAATCTTTAACAATCGCCTTTCCTCAAAAGAGGGCACCCACGGCCTCACCGCGCGCTATGAGTTTATTAAAATTATTCAAACTTATTTAAATAAATCCAATTAAAATTGAATAAAACACATCTAGCCTAACAGTTTAATTCTTTTTATTAATATTAAAGAAAGCCAGGGAGTTAATGTTAATTTAAAAAAAAATAATATAAAATGCATGTCATGTAATAACACTGTTTTATTATAAAAAGGAAAAGACCTCTGTAAAATTTCATATCTCACTACTAAGCGAAGATTTTTTTTTAATTGCTTATCTTTTTGAAGGTTTTAAAATTTTATCCCTTCTCTTGAAAATATTTTTAACAAATCAATTTTCTATAAATCGATCAAGTAAGCTTCTTTTTTTTCAAAGACATCACCTGGACATAGTTAAAAATTATATGAAAAAAGAAATCGATTTAATCAATTCCACACCACTGCAGCCTCCTGGAGAGCGAGAACAATAGGGACAGTAATTATCAGTAAATGTCAGCACTTGTCTAAGTTTTTCAGCAGGGACAGTAAACGGGTCAGTAATTGTCTAAGTTTTTCAGCACCGACTAAGATTATCAGCACTTTTCTAAGTTTATCAGTACCGACAGTAAAAAGGTCAGTAATTGTCTAAGTTTTACAGTAACGACAGCACATTATCAGTAATTTTCTAAGTTTGTCAGTAAAAAATGGGAATGTCAGTACGTTTCTGACTTAGTAGTGTTCTCTATATGAACCAAAATTTCTCAATAATGGGTGGTAAGGTGATGTCACCGATTTTGATCAAATTTTATATATTCATTACTTATTCAACACTCTTTCTTGAAATTTAGCAAAAAAAATTTAATTGGGGGTTCCGTTACCATGGTAACCATACATGGCTCAAATATGGCCTCTTAGACGCCTCTCACAGCACTGTTTTTGACATTTTTTAATCAAAAGTAATTAAACAACCGAAAAATTTGAATATGAAATAAATATATCTGCTTAAGAACAAGACTGAAAGCAACAAAAATGATGCAAATTATTTAAATTTGTCTATCATCATTGTATCTAATTTAATCACTAAATTTTTAATGTTTTGCTTAATTGACCATTTTTTGAAAAATGCATTTTTTATACATTTTTGAGCATAAATTAAAGAAAAATGCAGCGACAGATTTTCATCTCAATCAAGTATAATGTGAATTTGAACTAAACGAAAAACATACAAAAAATTAAAAGGTGTGTTTTTTCTTAAATCCAAAATAATTTACTTTCAAAAATGTTGCCATGGCAACATCAGAAATATTTCAAGATAGATTTACTTGTGTTTATACATATTTTTTGGATTAAAAATTGTTTGAAAAACTAAAATTTGGATCAATCTACATGTATCGCATATTAGTGCAGAATTTTGATTTTTTAAATAAGTGTTAGTAGTTGTCATAGCAACTATATATGTCCATGTATTGTGCTTTTGTTGTAAAAAGAGACATAATTATGATCTTCAAATTCAATTTTCATGTAAAAAAGAACAAAACTCAATTAGCTCAACATTAATTCATTTGATTATTTCATTAAAAATTTTTAATGTGTTCATTGGCATATGCACAGTTGTCATGGAAACCTTTCAAACTTTCATTTAATATAATACGCTGTATAATTAAGGAATGTTTTTTAGTTTTGTGTGAGTTATTGGTGTGTGAATCACACAGACTTGTCACGTAGGCATATTTCATGAAGCGCGCTAGCGCTTCATGAAAAATATGCCTATTTGCAAGTCTGTGTGATGCACACACCAATAATTCTCACTAAACTGAAAAACATTCCTTATATTTACATTTTACCTGTTTGGAGGCAACTAAAATATACTCAATATTTGAATTTCTCGCTGTCCTATATTATTGCATTTTACTAACGTCGCTGCAGTCTCATTGTGATGTCACGTTAACGCATGTTTCTCCGTGTATATTTCTACGCATGAGTATACACGAATATGTTTTTCAAGTCAATTTCACAGTAAGCTTACTAGAAAACACGGCGAATGTAAATATTGTTCTATGAGTGTGAGTTCTAGTAATTATACTGGTCTTTTAAAGATCAGACAGAGGGTGATACATCGTAACATTGTGATATTCAAACAAGACCCCATCTATTTATCATATGAAACAATATTGAGAAAAGGGATCAATCGTAGTTTTTTTCTAAAATATTTGAGTAGTTGCCATGGAAGTAGCCATGTTGAATTTAAATTTCCTTAGCAACAAGTCTTTCATTGTTTCAAGTGTTTAGACAATGGACTAAAAAGCATATTTTTCATTTGACAGCAGAAAGACAAAATTAGATTGAAATGCTTTCAATAATTTTCTTTGGTAAAAATGTTTTTACGGGGTATGTTTATTATGTGTTTTACATGTTTTATGCCCCAGAAATCAAAGAATATGGGTATATACATGTAGTTTTTGCCCTCTCAACCATTCTGTTTATTTGTCCACAAAAACGTTAACACTGTCCATAACTTTTATATTGTTGAGGCTATGGCTTTCATATTCAACATAATTTATGTATTCCCTTAAGATCTTTCATTGTGTACCAAAATATTTGATATATTGACGTTGGAGTATGACCAGTTTCGGAGGAATTTACCAAATTTTTACCTCGTCTACAACGCTTGAAATTTTGTGCTTGGGGTTTCATACAGTTACGTTACTGTGATAAGTACTTTGCATGGATATATGAATTTATAAAATATATTTTTTTACCTTTTGACCTTCACCTTGGAATTTTACCCACTTTAACCATGGGAAAAACTTTTGAGCAGTTACTATTAGGACCTTTATGTTTCATAATTGTATTCAATTCAACAAGGCCCCCCCCCCCAAACATACAAACAATATTGACGTTTTGATCTTGGATGTTGATGTACTTTTGAAAAGCATTAACCATGGCCATATTTTGGTGCTAAGACTTTAATATTTCACTTGTGTGTTTCTTGTAAGGCCTTCTCGTTTGTACCTTTTATTTCACCTTTTCACCTTGACCTTGGAGTCTGACCCACATTTAACTTTAGCCACGACTGTGCCAGTGCTTTCATATTTCACACACCTGTACATTCATTGACACAGGTCGTTTCTTTGAGTAGCAACACACTTCATTCACAAGAGGCCAATGGGCCACATCGCTCAACTGAGCACATTGGCTAGGAAATAACACAGAAATCATTTCAGTATTGAAAAGTTTACATGGGGGTTGGAGTCTGGAATTTTAAATTACCAACTACCTGATGATGCTTCTATAAAACAAATGCCTTTGCTGTTTCTGCTCAGATGAATTTTTTCCTATTCATTCATTTGACCTTTCCCCATTGTGGTCCAGCACTACCCCTATGAGCCCCCATTTGAACCTGTATGACTTTGTACTACCTGAGAATGCCTCCATTTCAATATTATTAAACATGGCTTATTTATTTAAATCCGTGACTATGGCTTTCCATCAAATTTTGGTGCTTATAGAGAATGGCTCTTAAATAAACAAACTACTTTCATAGTTAAGATGAGCAAGAGTGCTTCTACCAAAATTGTGAATTTTATGGCCCCAGGGTCAGGGGTTCTGGTGTTTGGGGGGGGGGGGGCTCTATTGATTATATAGTGAAAATACATGAATTCTTTGAAAGTCTTCTTTTCTGCTTCTAGGTATTAAATAAACTAACTAAGTGCATAGCTATAATGAACATGAGTGCCTTTACTAAAATTGTGAATTTTAAAGCCCCAGGGTCAGGGGTTCTTGTGTTGGGGGGGGGGGGACTCCCCTTGCAGAATATTCCTGAGATGTCCTAAGAAATCCTAAGACAATCTTAAGATTTATTCCTAGGATATCTTGAAAAAATCCTAGGATTATTCCTAAGATATCCTGAGATGTTTTTGGAACAGGAATTCCTGGGATTTCCTAGGACAGTCCCAATTCAGGGGTTCTAGAAAAATCCCAGGAATCAAAACACCAAAACTTCCCAGGATATCCCAGGAAAATCCCAACACTTAAAATGTCCTAGGAAATCAGGAATTCCTAGGATTTCCTAGGATATCCTAGCCTCCCAGGACATCTTTTTTTTAAAAAAAATCATACATAGCAACAAAGCAGAATTATAAGATCTCTGAAAAAATTTAATGAATGTATGCATTATAAAAATTCATGGCCACACAGAAAAAATAATACATAAAATAATTTTTAAAAAATGCTGATGGTATCTGATACAACAAATTCTTAACAATTTTACTGCTGTAACATTATAGTGCAGTTATGATTCAACATCATGATTTACACACAAGGGGGGAAACAGATTGTCTTATTTTCAAACTATGTTAATACATTCTGAAGCAGCTCTCATAGAATATTTAATATGATATACATGTACAATGACAAATATTAATAATAATAAAAAAATATTTAAATCAACAACCTAGTGTAGAGAGTAGGGGTGAGGCCCTCAGGGTTCGTCATTTCTGAAGAATTCTGTACAATAAAAGATTCAGATACCAAACAGAACTAATTCATAACACCCCCCCCCCCCCATAAAAAAACAAAAACAGTATGCACCTGATGGCAACAAAGTTTGAAAAAAAAACAAACATATAGGTCAAAGTCACAAGGTCATTAACCTGAGGTAATTTGAAAGAACTTAATTAGTGGAGTATGGATACTCAATATAAAATCTCTACCTCTTATGGTTCAAAAGTAAAAGATTCAATAAGGCTATATTTTAGCATAACGATGACAGTCAAGGTCATTGGTCTTGGTCTCATTTGAAAGTGGAGTAAGCATACCCAATTTGAAGTATCTATATCTCTCATGATTCAAAAGTTATGGCAAAAGGTAAATTGTCAATAGACAGATAAACAGACAGACAAAAACAATATGTGCCCCCGAAAGAAGCCTTGACCTCTGACCATTTCACTTCAAAATATATAAGGGTAATATTTAATTTATAAACAATATTAAATTTGTATTGATGATTAATCATGTTCTGCAGTGGGATCGTCAAAATGAGTTATAATATAAAATGTCATTTTTGGAAATGTTAAGAGAACGAAGTGTTACAGACAGACAGATTGACAAACAGAAAGATAAACAGACCCAAATTAATATCCCCCCTGCACCTCGTCAATCCTGACCAATATAAGTCGCCCAGCTTTAGTTGATCACTGATGTATCTTCTTTAGCTGTACATTTTTCTTCTTCATCGCCAGTGGCCTAGTTGCAGATCGTGAAGCCTTGATTGCTTTTTCTTCACTCAACTTTTCACTTGTCTTTGCTAAAATAAAATTTTACTTAATGTATTCCATTGTTTAGTCTAAATATGTAATTATTTCTAAGGGATGAAAATCAAACTTGTAAAATTTAGTAGCCAAAGATGCTACATGTATCAAATTCCAAGCTTTCAGATTCTACCAGTCCATAAAAATATGTGTTTGCCCAAGTAAGATGAACTATTTTTCTCAAAAGATTTATTTTATTCACACTTGCATAAGGAATAAGGTATGTTAATCAATTGCATACATGATGTGATTTACAAATGATGTCATAATAATCTTACTGAATAGCCTTTTTGTAGAAAATAAAATTTTAATTCGCAATAGTTAACCGTTTTACCACAGTTGTCGTATGAAGTCAATTTACTTGGCATTAAAATACTGTGAATTAAACTCTCCGTGCGAACAGAACATTAAAATCATACATTAACATTATTTGAACAGCTTACCTTTCTCGGCAATATTCTCCTTGTTGTAATTTGCTTCTTTTCCCTTAGTCCGAGTTAAACAGTCTGCAAAGTTATCAATAAAATTTTTTATAAGATGTGTATATATATTTGTTCTTTTGTAATCTAGCTGAAATTAATTTTAATGATGGCTGTCATTGATATTTCTTGCTGATTTTTTCATTTTTCTGTTCTAAATTTTGTGAATATTATCTTATGAGTTCTACGACATCTGCATCAGTTTTCCCAACTTAATATAAGTTACAGAGATTGAAATGTACCATAAACTTTCATAGACGACTTTCACATTTACAAAAGTTATTCCCCTTTGCGGGGTCAATCCAGGGTCAACCGGCTCAAGACACTGTTTCCCCTCTATTACCTTACCAACTTAATGGGTCAGTATCTCAGAAATATAGTATGTATGAATTTGTTAAATACGTTTTTAAAGTTGCCCCATATTCTGGCAATACAGTTACAGACCAATATTGTTAGATATAAATGTCCGAAAATAAAAATATTTCCAGGTAACTTACAAAGGACAAAGTGGGAAAAATGAGTGTTACGCCGACAACCGGAGATAACTCTTGGGAATGTGAAATCCGTCTATTCTTTCAAGTTTACAAAAGAAAATTTTTAAAAAGATTACAGGATACCTGAAACTTTCTCTTCATTTGTTGGTCTCAATGGGAGTTTCCAGTCTCATAATCCTTGCCAGGCTTCAAGGTTCTAGCTAGAAGATAACAATGCAATGAAGGCTTTATTTAAGAGTATAATTCCAAAATTTACACCATGTCAAAACATTCAATGCAAATTTAACAGTAACTGATAATAAACATTTGTTTATAAGTCTTCTGCTTACTAAATTTTAACATGTAAAACCTAGAAATATTTCACTGTGTATGTACGTTTGATCTTCATGGACTAGACTGAATCACAGTATGCACAAAAACCTTTTACACATATTCAAATCGTTTCTTCTGTTTCAGTATTGAAATATTATACAACACATCACATGCACTAAATTATTCAACAATATTTGTGTGTTTAAATACATATTACAAGGAACCACTCGCCACTTACCCCACTGGCATGTGGCCATGATATCTACACTAATCTTCCAACATTCCCTTTACTGCACTCCTAGCGAAACCAGATTTTTGGGAAAGAGAACATGGTTTATGTGAAGAATTAGAGTCTATCTTGGGCGTAAGTTGTGCATTTCATTACATTTCACCAGTCTCTCTAAACATTGCCGCTCCTTGAACTCCTATTTTGCGCTTCTCGATGAAGTCTCGCGAGAGGATGATACAGGACGGTGTAAAGTTATTTCGTGCCACACCAAGAAAATTCGGTTTGTTTATTCTTGAAAATAATTTGTGATTAATGTGAATTTACGTTTTTTTTTTTTTACAAAAAGAAAATATATTTTAGCGAATATTTTCTGACAAAATAATATTCAAAGCTGAGTTGACAGTAAAATATAATTTATACACCGGGTACTAATTGATCGAAGATCACTTTTTTGTACCACCTCTCGGAAGTTCGAGCGAGAGAATGCTGCAGACACGGTGTAGGGGTATTTTGTACACCTTTAAGAAATATCCCGACATTTTCCCGAGAATCTTGTTTAAAAAAAACACGTAAGTTATTATCAGTGACAAACGACCCGCATATTAGAAAAATAAAATATAAATACCCTTAATCAACCAATTCTACTAACAGAAAGTGTTACAGAAGAAATTATTTTCGAAGAACCACGATGATACATTTAGGCCAAGAGCAATTTGCATGGAAACCGTCCACACACAAATATGGCGGATCGTGAAGTTGTCACATTGTGCTGTAAACAACGACTTTTCTTCGCATCTACAAGCCTGTCACGATGCCTGTAAGTATCTTATTGCTAAGTGATGAATGAAAATTAGTATATCTGGCGATGAAACCTATAGGGAAAGCGCATTTTTATCGTATTTAATAGCTATGTTACGACTCGAATTTGGTCAAAACCTTTGAAAAGTTTTTTTTTTATCTCTGTTTATGTGGATAAAAATTTCAGGAAACTTTATTAGTTTTACTGCGTTTTTTTTTTTTTTTTTTAGATTTTCCTCGTTAAATAAAAGCAATACTCAATATCAAAATATGAGGAATTATGTTCTCAAACTCAATACAACACGATTCTAACCCAACAAAATTTGAAATACCAAGCTTTTTAAGTCAGAAAGTGACGAAAGTATGATGTCACAGACCAAGTCATGCTTCTTGAGTATGCTGTTTATGTAGTATTTAAATTTGTGTAGTGTACTCTTCTTTCAATGACTCAATATTTACTTTTCTTTTGTATAGTATCTCTGGCAGTTATGGGTGAATATACAGCGAAATCATACAGATTTGGATGAAGATGTTAAAGATAGTAAAGACAAAGACAGTTTGATGAACCAAATGACACTGATAAAGAAGAAGATACAGAAAATAATGGCATGTGACTTTGAAGCTGATAGTTTGGTAACCACCTGAGAGATATATAACCTGTATGCAGGTGATGACGGTATAGGAGAGCCATTTCTTATAACGTGCTATGAGGAAAATATGTTTTATTTTGTCGAAATGAAATGCGAAGTGAAAAATTAAATTGACAGATGAAGAAAATTTACCATTCCATCCTTCTGCATGTATGGTCTTCTGAATTCAAAGCCATTTGAAAACCAACTTTAAGTTAATAAGAGGAACACTTTATTTTTAGTGAAACATTCTGGAAAATATTACTTCTACATAGAAAGAAAAAAATGTATTAATACTTGATGTTGTATTGCATGATGGCCAAGTTTGTATGACCAGTGCAAAAAAATTTGCTTGCACTCAGTTTCCCATGAACGAAGCAATCTAAAGATTAAATGTAGAATTTAATTCTAATGGATAAAAATCAACTCAGAAATGTGTGATTTGAAAATGGTGAAATATTGTTTGTCTGTAAACAATTTTTTCTTTAAAACATAATACATGTATAACTCCTCCCTGACAGCATAAATATTTCAGAAAGTATTTAATTTAAAAAATAGTTCTAGGGTCAGTGTCTTTCTATGTATCAAGTATAATATGTAATGATGGAAAATTATTCATTTTATTATTTTCTTGATATTATACATTAAAACTTTAAAAGTAATAAAATTTCCTGTCATTCTGTTTAACATTTATTAACATGTACAAGTTTGTAAAGTTTAATTTGTCTTTTTTACAAAAGTCCCAACATTAAGTCAAAAGTCTTAGGAAATGGGATTATCATAAAAATGATTAACTCCTGGCTTTACAATGAAATGTCCTGGCAAGGTTTGGATTTGAAATGTTTAACAAAAAAGTCCTGGGAGATCCTAGGATGTCCTGAAATCAAATCCCAGGATTGTTACTCCTAGGATTTCCTCAAATCAGATTGTGAGGAAATCTTAGGAATTCTTAGGACATCTTAGGAATTCCTGAGAAGCATTTTCAAGTCAGGAATAATTTCTGCAAGGGTCTATTGATTACATAGTGAAAATACATTAAATCGATGAAAATCTTTTTCTCTACTCCTAGGTATTAAATAAACTAACTAAGTACATAGTTATGATGAGCAAGAATGCCTCTACTAAATTTGTGAATTTTAAAGCCCCAGGGTCAGGGGTTCTAGTGTTGGGGGGGGGGGGGGCTCTATTGATTATATAGTGAAAATACATGAATTCTTTGAAAATCTTCTTTGCTCCTAGGTATTAAATAAACTAACTAAGTGCATAGTTATGATGAGCATGAGTGCCTCTGCCAAAATTGTGAATTTAGGACCTCAGGGTCAGGGGTTCTTGTGGTAGGGGGGGGCTCTATTGATTATATAGTGAAAATTCATGAATTCTTTGAAAATCTTCTTCTCTGCTCCTAGGTATTAAACAAACTAACTTAATGCATAGTTATAATGAGCAAGAGTGCCTCTACCACAATTGTGAATTTTAGGGCGGTAGGGTCAGGGTTCTGGTGTTAGGGGGGGTCTCTATTGATTATAGTGAAATACATAAGTCTTTGAAAATTTTCTTTATCTGCTCCTGGGTTTCAAGCAGTTGAATTACCTAATATATATTTATGAACAAGGACCTTTATCTTCCAGAATTGTGATTTTCAAGGCCCCAGGGTCAGGGATACCATAGAGAGGGGGGGGGGGACATACTTATAGACTGAAAATGAACGAATTGTTTGAAATCTGCTCCCTGGTATTAATCAAATATTTTTGAAAAGCAAGGATGCCTTTTAAAAAATTGTGCAATGTGTGGATCTAGGCCTAAGGGTCAGGGGTTCATGTGTAGTAGGGGCGCTACTGATTATTGCTGAATATTTCTGATTAGTTGAAATGTATTTTATGTTCCTCTGCCTTGTCTATGGGTATTAAGTAACCAAACTAAGCAACTGATCAATGATGCCTCTTTCAAAATTGTGAATGCCATAGCATCTGGCTTAAAACATGAATCAAATTCAAAAACTAGAAAGTTGTTGCATAATTTTCAGGTGACCTATAAGGCCCATGGGCCTCTTGTGTTTTAACTTTTTGCTCAGTATAGAACAAGGATTAAAAGATGCTCTTCATTCTAGAATTTTATAGTGAAGATCTGATCATTAAAATAATTTTTGTAAACAACGTTCTGAGGGATTCTCTGGGCAAGATTTATTTCATTACATCGAGAGACCGTTCACGGTAGCCTAGTGGTAGAGCGTACGCGTCATGATCGGGAGGCCCGGTGTCATATAATATATTGAACCCCGCGATATTTTGAACCCGGGTTCAAAATAACGCTGCATAATATTGAACCCCCCTATAAAATATTGAACCCGGGGTTCAAAATATTATGGCCATGAAATAGCGAGTCCTCCTGCTCTTTTAGGTTTAGAGGGAGGGGATTCAAAATATTATGGCCATAAAATATTGAGTCCCCTTGCCCTTTTGATTTATGAAAGAGGGGGTTCAAAATATTATGGCATTAAATACTGAGTCCCCCTGCCCTTTTGATTTAAGAAAGAGGGGGTTCAAATTATTATGGCCAAAAAATATCAAATCCCCCTGCCCTTTTCATTAAGAGGGAGGGGGTTCAAATTATTATGGCCATAAAATACTGAGTCCCCCTGCCCTTTTGATTTATGAAAGAGGGGCTTCAAAATATTATGGCCATAAAATATCGAATCCCCCTGCCCTTTTCATTAAGAGGGAGGGGGTTCAAATTATTATGGCCATAAAATATTGAGTCCCCCTGTCCTTTTAATTTTATAGGGAGGGGGGTTCAAAGTATTATGGCCCTAAAATATTGAGTTCCCTTGCCCTTTTGATTTATGAAAGAGAGGGTTCAAAATATTATGGCCATAAAATATTGAGTCCCCCTGCCCTTTTGATTTATGAAAGAGGGGGTTCAAAATATTATGGCCATAAAATATCGAATCCCCCTGCCCTTTTAATTTAAGAGGGAGGGGGGTTCAAAATATTATGGCCATAAAATATTGAGTCCCCCTGTTCTTTTTGGTTTAGAGGGAGGGGGTTCAAAATATTATGGCCATAAAATATTGACTCCCCCTGCCCTTTTCATTTAGAGGGAGGGGGTTCAAAATATTATTGCCATAAAATATTGAGTCCCCCTGTTCTTTTTGGTTTAGAAGGAGGGGGTTCAAAATATTATGGCCATAAAATATTGACTCCCCCTGCCCTTTTCATTAAGAGGGAGGGGGTTCAAAATATAATTGCCATAAAATATTGACTCCCCCTGCCCTTTTCATTAAGAGGGAGGGGGTTCAAAATATTATGGCTATAAAATATTGACTCCCCCTGCCCTTTTCATTAAGAGGGAGGGGGTTCAAAATTTTACGGCCATAAAAAATTTTGAACCCCCTCCCTCTAAAATTTAAAGTGCACTTCAAGTGAAAATTAAAATGAAAATAATTATTATTGAGCAAGAAGTGCACCATGGTGTACACTTAATTGAAAATTCAAAAGAATAATCAGTATGGAGCAAGACTATCTCTCGTTTGAACTACTGCAAGACATGGTTTCTTGTGATATATAGTTTTTTTTTTGAATAGAAGGCTGACATATCGGCTGCTGCAGTAGATCTGTTGAAGTCTTTTTTTGACAATTGTTAAGGAGGCACACTGGCTGTAATAATTTGAAAATATTCAATCTCTAACAAGGGAATACTACAGTAAACTCTGCTTAACAATAATTTACCATTGTAGTACCAAGTAATTAAACACTTTGGAACTTTGATTATATAATAATAAAGAAAAATTTAAACTTGAATCTTCTATATATAATGAAATCTTTGAAACTTTGATTTATTATGTTGAAAAATTTACTATTAATTTTGATAACTTTACTATTCTGAACCATTTGAGACTTTGAATTACTATCAAAGTTTAGTATTATATACAATAGTATTTTAGTTATATATTCTATCAAGTGATTAAAAAATTAAAACATTTTTTTGAGTGATCACTTAAGTGTTAATCTTTAGTGACTATTATAATATCATATCAACAATATTCATTTTCTTTAAAGGCATTTCCGCAAAAACGCTTAAGAATAGACAATTCTGAAATTTCAAATGTCGACCGTGCAACGCAGTCTGTTTCATCAGGTATAGAACATGATTCCTGCATCGGGGAAACGGGTAACAATGTAATGCGGGAAGATAGTGACGACGAGGATTCATACACCGAGGAAACGGATGACGATGAAAACCAGGAAGATAGTGACGACGAGGATTCATACACCGAGGAAACGAATGACGATGAAGACCATGAACGTTGTGATGACGAGGATGATGCTGGTAGTTTTATTATTATAGCTTCAACTTAATTACATACAAACAAAATTTTTTTAATGTTCCAATTATTCATAAAACTTTGATATCTAACATAGTACATGTAATAGTTGTAAATATGATTTTCTTAAATTAGTTTAAAAAAAAATTCTACATCATAAAACAGTAATATAGTAAAGTAATTGTTTGCTTTCAATTTTTTTCTAGATCGTAGTCTCTTGTACTATATTGTGTCATCAGTTTATGAAACAGAAAGAGTTTATCATGATTCAGACAGAATTGATTTAAACAGCGATGACTGGTATGAGAAACTTACAGACATCCGACAGACGTATAAAATGAAACACAGATCAAGAGAGGAGGACGTTCTTGCTATTAAATCAATGACTAAAACATCTAGACTAGTAAAAATGGAGCAGACAATTGTATCATGTGATATTGATTCCATTGGTGTCGAGAAAGATGACAGGGTTTACAATTGTCTGACATTCAATAAAAATTATTTAAAATTCGTGAAGGAGACACCGTCAGAGTATTTGCCAATATGCCTTGAGTTAGTGCCAAAGATAGATGAAAAAATATTGGGTAGCTTTGCGATATCTGATATTGTCTTGAAATTAGGATTAAAGTTTCTTCACCTTTTTCCGTACAATAACAAATTTAAGGAAAAATATGACAGAGGTTTAGATATCTGTAAGTATTTATTTTTTCCAGCGCATAACATTCATGTTAAAGGTACATGTATAGTTAATACCTATTTTATCTAATTATTATATTTGAATTTTAAAACATAATTATCTAACTATTCCAAAATATTCAAAAGGATAATACTGTTTTAGTGAATCTTCCTTATGCTGTAAACTGCATGATATGGTTCGATGAACCTCCTTATGATAGTACGTTCAGTGATTTCAAAGAATATGTGGATGAGATCATGAAACGTGAAAACAAATCCTTACAGACATTGAATTTGAACAGTCTCCTCGGCTCATACCTTATTGGACGAGATACAGGCAAGGAGCTAGGTAATGATTTCAGTTGAAAAGGATATGTCTATCATTCTTTGAAAGATGAAGTTTCACAAATGCAATGATGAGAGCAAACAGGAAGTAATTATTGAAATGTGGAACCCCGTATTATATAAACTATTATTGTGTATCAACCACAAACCACGTTATCCCCTGTTTTTTAACTTCTCAACCTTTTTTTCCTTGTCAAATGGAAGGAAATCGAATAATGCACCATCACAGTAAATTTATCTTTCCCAATTTTTTATTTTTTAATGATATTAAATTTAAGAGGTAAGCTTCTTCCCTTTGGTGACAATATTTAATTCAAACATATGTATAACAGAGAGAATATTTTTGTAAATACAAGTTTTAAAAATATCACGGGGTTCCACACGTTAATCATGTTAATGCATTACTCACTTTGTTTGCTCTAACCATTGCAGTTGTGAAATATATATTTTCAAAGAGAATGACCTATCAATGCATAAATAAAGGAACACATATTAAAGCTTGCATATATTAGAAACTGAACGATTTGTTTTACAGAGGAAATAAATACGCTGTATCAAGGCATCCCAATACCTGGCTCTGTAAAATCTTTTTTTTTTTTAATTTTGCTGCTTAAAGATTTTAATCCCACATAGAATTTATTCTTAAACTTCAATTTGTGTTTCTTTACATAAGAATTGATATAGTAAGGTACTAAATAATTCCTAAATTGGATTAAAATTAACTAACATATTTGTTCTAAACATCTTTTGATCTTGAATAGATTAGTTTGTTTTATCTTGATAATTTTCACATATTCATTTGCCATAAATACTCATAATAATCTATTCGAAATCATTAAACACCTTGCAATGGTGTTAAAACGAAAGGGGCATCCAAAATATGATACAGAAGATGAATAATTTTTTATCTTTGGCATTTACTTTATTTGGCAAAGCTGGTTAGATATAAAGAATGAAGTATTTAGATTCATCCACACAGAATTCTACACGTCTTGATTATTTATCAATACCGCCCGTCTTTTTACTCCCTCCCATTAACTATAAAATTACTCTACTTTTATTTTTTTCAATTTTTTTTTACCAAAAAAGATGAAATTGCTTTACTCGGTTTCTCAGAAGTTATAATACATGATTATATTACGACCCACTGTTACCGAATTGCAGATCATGTTTGTATGTTTATCTTTGAAAATGCACTAGTTTATGAATTTATATGTAACATTATTATAAATGTGTTAGTTCAAATGCACACATATTTTATAAAAATTATTTTTTCTTTCTTTAAGATGTCGCTTTTTTTTAGGAAATTTAATAACATGATCTGACAGAATTTCACGTAAGGCGCAGAATGCTTGTTTACGTCTTGATTTTAGAAACATTTTGATATTCACATAGGATACCTACTTTTACAAGCAATATTTAAAAAAAATAACTTCTTAGATTTTTTAACAAAAAAAAAAAGGATTTGTTGTTCTAAACTATGCATTTAAATCATGTAAGCTATCTAATAAACCTGTATGTTTGCAACACAGAATTTCTAGACATCGAGTCTCAATTATTATATATCGACAACCACCCTTATATCTTGACATTTTCCGATCTTCTCAACGATATCGAGATTACGAAATTTACCTGCACTTTTAAATCGAAAGAAAGAAATCAAATATTATATAGCAATTTGCTTTCATTATATTTTCTGCTTCTGTGTACTGAATGAAAAAGTGAAATTGAAAAATAATGATCGGAAATCAAATTCAAAGATTAAAAGAAAAGAAACCATATACATGTACATTGACACTTATTAAATGAATGTTGCGGTACCTTTGTGTGAAAATGATCAATGAAAATCATAAAATAGATAAATTACACATAAAAGAGGGACTGATTTTAAGTTTCTGAAAAAAATCAAATTCACATAAAATCATTTATAATGATAAACCATTTTTATTTCAGCATTGGATCACCTCGTACTTTCTCATACAAAGTGGAGCATTCTGGTTTCTATTCTGATGTCAGAGAGTTACAGTTTGTCATTAAGATCACAGTGGGAAGAAAGATTTACAAAACTTCAAAGTGCTTTCCCGTTATTAACCTGCGAGTCAAGAATTGTAGAAAAAGATATCGCTGAATTGACTGATATTTATAAAGTGTTGAAGAAGGAGAACAACTCAGTCAGTTTTATATCAGATGATGTCCGCCATCAGGTGATGAGTTACTTCGTGAAGAATTGTCTGATAACTGATGAGGACTACGAAAATTATATCAAGTTGTCGTCACTGGAGTCGTTATTCGAGTACGTACTACCGTGGTGGTATGTTAATTATGATGAAATGTACACTTGGCTAGATAGATATGTGTTCCTACCGGAGAGTTTAGAGAATTTATATTGCCAAAGACTTGGATTAGATTCCTTACGTCATCAAATGGTGGAGTGGAATGATTCGAGTTTAGATAGAACTGAAACAGTCAAAGAGGTACTTCGAAAAAATTGTGAGTAACACTGTTTCATTGTAATAATAAAAAAATGATCAACATTAGCTTTAAAATTTTTTTAAAAAATCATTAAACATTTAAAAGATAAAATCTTAAATTTATACATTAAAGACAGTTTTCTTTTTACTTTAAGATTAAAAAAAAAATATATGACATGTTTCATACTTATTCATGTCTTATTCTGTTATACTGTAAACCTTTTAACAACAACATCTAAAGATAAAGTTTATTGTTAAGAAAGCTTATGATTTTGTTTCTTTCACAGAAAATCCTCTCGATATTTAGTTACATTTTATAAGGTCCAACCCTCTATTACGTTTTGAGGCACATGCACCCATCTTTTATATCCAACTCCTTGTATACCACTGAATGAAATTCAATGAGTCTTTTTACATTCAAAGTTAACATACCGGAGGAAATATTTGATTGGGGATATGACGCACGATGTAGATACATAAAATGTGCTAAAAGGGGAACGAAGACAGTACACAGAGCTCGTGCAATGATTGTTGGATGCGCAGGTGCTGGGAAAACTACCCTTCTAAAACGACTACAGAAGCTAGGATTAGAGGAATTACTGAAGGTGCGCTCCACTGTTGGACTTGAGGTTCATGAGGACATGTTTGAACTGGATGATGACTCTTCTTTAAGAGGTTTGTGTAAAATGTTTTTTTTTTTTGCTTTCTTTATTACGTGTGTAAATGGAGTTAACAATGGAATCATCTCCTGAAAAAAAAGTATTTCTGACCAGATTTTTTTTATTTAGGCAATATTGCAAATATATGCTTTACCAAAAAAAAAAACAACATTTTTTTGTTTTTGTAAATAATCGTATAAAGTGTGTTCATGGAGACATGAGAAAATGTAACACCGTAAATCTTGAAATTTTAAAGTCAATTTTATTTTGCAAATTCGGTTCAAAATGCAGTTGAATTATTTTTACGCTTCAAAATTTTGCGTTTGAAAACTGCTTTATTTACATTTTCTTATTGGTAATTTATTTTTTAGAAAAATATTTTTGCGAATGCAATAAACTCGCAAAGCTAAATATTATCTACTGCAAAAATTTCCAGATCACGATAGTTATCTGAATATATAGATAAAGGATCCAAATGCTCATTTTTTTTTAAATGTAGCATTAGCTGCATATTGTTTTACATCCCTAAACATTAGTTTCACATCTCAAAACGTTAGTTCTATTTAATTTTTATTTCAAAAAGCAGAGATCAGAAAACATTATGCTATAATAAGATGTACGCCGTCTGTCTAGCTGTCTTATGGCCTGTAAACTACTCTTTATTTTAAGATACCGTATAAGTAGAAATTTTAGCGAGACGCAAATTTAGCGATTTGACCTTAAAAATCGGTATTTTAATTTTAGCGAGAAGCAATTTTAGCGAATTTGAAATGCTTACTTTAGAAGCTATAGCAACTTCAACGCAATTAATTTTTTGCGATATTTAATTTTAGCGATCTCAGCACCCTCGCTAATAATGCCAAAATTAAATCCTCGCTAAAAATTCTACTTATACGGTAATACCCCAACATAATTGGCGCAATGTTAATATTACTACACTGTACGTTTGCCTAATCTCAAATAAGATACACAAATTTGTTCATTTTATAATGTACTGAGCCTTGATACATAGTGACTAGAATTTAAAATCTTTAAAAATCGCTACCTTCTTTGCAGTTTTAGTCTAAAATCCAAATAACCGGCTAAAAATTAATACACTTTAAAAATATCCATAACTCGATCTGCTTATCTGTTAAAATCTATTTCAAGTGTAGCTAAAAATACAAATATCTGTGAAATTTACTACCTTCCGCCCTATTCTGATTTCAATTTGAAATATTTTTTTACATAAGTGCTGAAAAGTACACAATACTGAGATACGTTGTTATGCCCTCGGATCAAAAGATTGGGGGTATATTGTTTTTGTCCAGTCTGTCTGTCTGTTTGTCCCACTACTTTAACCTATAGCCCATAACTATTGAGTGGTTGGAGCTATATGGCTTTCATAATTCATAGGTGTGTTACTTGTGACATGAGCTTTCTTTGGGTACCACCAAATTTGACCTCTTGACCTTGACCTTGGAGTTCGACCTACATTTATTCTATTTGTTTTCAACTTTAACCTTCGCCATAACTTTTGAACAGATCGAGATAGAGACTTCATATTCAAAATGCTTGCTCTACTAAATAAGCACTTTTAACTGACACCAAGGACAATGACCTTTTGACATTGACTGTGACCTATATGCTAAAAATAGATTTTTCAAACTTTTGGTATAACTTTTGAACCGTAGGAGACAGGGACTTTATACTTGGCAGAGATTTTCCACTACACCATGTAGGGCCGAATATGGGCCCCATTCCCAATTGTAAAACCCCTCCCTTTTTCCCAAAAATGAACTCAATTTTTGAAAGAAGAACTCAAGAAGGTAACCTGAACATAATTCACAACGTACAAACATGTTTAGGTTTGGAAATATGAATGAAATGAACAAAATTTTGAAGAATCTAGGGTAAAACTTCATTATATTGATCAATTCTCTGATCAATAGTTCTGAAACACTAGGTAAAAGATCAATTTTTATTCATCTTAAGTATTTATTTCTTGAAAAACATCATGCAATAAAATTTCCCAATAAGTGATAAAATGTCATTAAGGAATTTCCACCCTCACAATTTTATAGGTTCAAATATAAAAACTGCATTTATTTTCATTCAATATACTTTAAACTTTCCATTTTATGCAAAAAAATGTATAGGTCACCATATTATTTAAGATGGGAAACAAAAATAAACAGAAGTTTATGTCAACATAAAAAATTAAACATTTTGTATTAAGAAAAATATGTAGAAACTGGTTAAAATGCATAATTCTGATGCTGAGACAGTGAGTGTTCCTAAATACTTCCTACTTAAAAGATACTTTTGAATTGTAAATATCAGGTAAAATATTTAACAGAAAAGCAAATGCCTGAATGAAGAGACCTTAGAAGGAGTTGTTGCCCTTGTAAACATTTTTCAAATATTGAATAATTGATTAAATATAGAAAATATGCATTTTCTAAATTCTTTAACTATACAATATTTATCATTACACCTCTTGTAAAGTTTTCTTCCAAGAGATATTTTTCTATAAGGTATGAATTTAAGTTAATTACAGTTTTTGAAAAACCCTATGACATCATAGGAGGGTGGAATTACCTTAAATTCCCAATTCCAAGGGCCTGGGCCCCATTCCCAAAAGTGAGTGGAAAATCCTTGCTTGGTATGCCTATTTCACTAATTAAGTGCTTTCAAATGACACTGAGGTCAATGACCTTGTGACCTTGACTGTAACCTTTATGCTATGAATAGCTTTTTCAAACTTTGTTACCGCCGGGGGCATGTGTGACTCACAAACACATCTTGTTTTTTATATTGTTTGCTGACTACACTAAGATTTGATATTCTTTAAATCAGTATATGATACTTATAAACAACGTTGCAAGAAGGGCTACCAAAACAGAAATTTCATACATATAAATTTCTTTGCAAAATGCTACATATCCTACCGTTTTTCTTCAATTTCATAAAAACCTTTCTACAAATATCAGTAAACGTCACCAATATACAGTCGTATCTCTTTTTAGTATAAGCACATGGTGTTACTCTGCTTACTATTTGTAGAAATTTGAAATACGCCCAAAAGGCTATTGCTTCTATAACTTTTGTCTAATTGCTGTCAAATTGACGCCAAGAGACTTAAGGTGAAACACAATAGATAGGCTAGATTGTTTTCTCAAATTCAATTTTTCTGAAACTTTGATATTTTGTTCTACGAGACAGAATATCTATTTCTATATGATATGAAAGAAATTCAACCACGCATATTTTGCCCACATAGTCTGAAATATGGCTCATCAGACCCCCGTAAGAAGATTATGAAGTCAGACCTTTGACTTGAGAATGAACCTTATTTTAGAAATATCAATTGATCTTTTTCAAATTTGTGTAATACTTTTTTTTATAAACATAATCTTTTTGTTACTTTAAATCGGTTAGTCAAATTAATACTGGAAAATCTAAGTAAAATATTCAGTAAAAAACATAAAAAGCGTTGGAATATATAATTTATATGTAAATATCTGACGGATTATGCTACGTTCCCACTGTCGTGCGGTCAGTTACGCACGTCACGATAGATCAATCGTAGTTGATCGCGGAGTTTTTATTGAATTTTATGCCAAGATACGAAGAGATGCGTATAGGTGCGTTTTCATACGTTTCGTTACGCTTTTATGCGCTATGCCCCCGATGGATAAATTTCATGTGATGCGTTCTCTGATGATCTGACTACCGTTCGGATAAGATGAAATACGTTTCAATAGGATTATCAAGATTTAGTCGAAAAAGGACCTCAATCTGTCACGAATATCACGATTCGAGTTCTCGATTAGAAAGGATCTCCTACGTTTTAATACGTACTCATACGGTATAATACGTTCATTGCGCTCTCTTGCGCTAATGTACGATAGAATAACACGTTCATTGCAATGTCTTTCACGATCAGGATCAAGATAGAACACGCTTTGAGCTACGATTGTACCCCGACAGACATATAAAAATCTGGTTATACTGAGTCCATTATATTTTATCTCTTGAAATTAAACAAAACATAAACATACAATCAATAATAATGGCAGAAGTAAAGGTTGATGAAAACTTCATAAACGTGGTGTTTGTAGTGTAACTATGGCCATATGTTATTGCTGTCAAAGTAGGGTAAAAGAGCAGTATAACTATCTCTTATCTTTTTTTCACTGATGTTGCCTCTGATCGAACGGGTTCAAGTTCAAAAGAAGATAGGAACTCCCCTCTTTCTATTTTGTACTTGTTTTATGTGGCATCTTTAAAATATTTTTCCAAAACGTAGACATTTTTTTCCAATCGGGAAAGAAACGCGTTCAATTTTCCCGTTATTTTTGCAAGCTTTTATTACTCGTACTATAGCGTGATTGTCCGCAACAAAGCGTTAACACTCGTGTCTAATGGCGTTAACTCTCATATGTCCGTATCAAATCGTCTTTGAGCGGGAAAGAACCGTGTCAGCACGTGAGCAGATGGCCACGCAAAGCGTCACAGATAGTGACAGAACGTGAGATATCGCAACGAATCGCCTTTCAGCGGGATATCTGTCCTTTCCGAGATTGATCCCGATGATCACGATATACAAGCCAGATTAGTTACTTTTTAGTTCACCTGAGCCGAAGGCTCAAGTGAGCTTTTCTGATCACAATTTGTCCGGCGTCCGTCTGTCTGTCTGTCTGTCCGTCTGTCTGTCCGTCTGTCTGTAAACTTTTCACATTTTCGACTTCTTCTCAAGAACCGCTGGGCCAATTTCAACCAAACTTGCCACAAAGCATCCTTGGGTGAAGGGGATTCAAGTTTGTTCAAATGAAGGGCCAGGCCCTCATTCAAGGGGAGATAATTGCGAATTAATGAAAATTTGGTTACAAGTTTTAAAAATCTTCTTCTCAAGAGCCACTGTGCCAGGAAAGATCAAACTTATGGGGAAACATCCTCAGGTAGTGTAGATTCAAGTTTGTTCAAATCATGACCCCCGGGGGTAGGGCGGGGCCAAAATGGCCGACCAAAGTT